AACATTAAGTATCTAGAATAAAAACAGAACATAAAAATCTAAACATCAACAAAACAAACAACCCAATAAAAACGAAGCATGGAACTATATAAATAGTTCAGAAAAGATGAAGAACAAATGGTGTTAACCCCTCTAGATATCATGAAAATACAGATTAAAGCTCCTTTGAGATTTCATTTTATCCAGAAATAATGGCTAATGTACAAACAAACCAAAGACAAATGAATGTACTATTGTTTAATTACCCATTCATCAGCTGACAGACATCTATCTTGCATGTATTCCCTAGTTAACCTGAGGAGAACAGCAAGGAACAGGAATAATCAGACATAGTCTATAGAGTAGTTTAGGTATATTGCAAAGAAAATATACCACGATCGTCTGATAGACATATTTCTAGACTTTGAGGAAACTTTACATTGATTCCCATGGCGATCCATTAGTATTCATCCATCAGCAGTGAATTAGTGTTTCCCTTTCTCCAAATCCAAGGCAGTATTTATCAACATTTGCTTTTTGGTTCTTAACTATCATTCCCAGAGTTATATAGAATCTCAAAGAAGCTTTAACTTTCATTAATATAATAAGAAAGGGTGCTGAACATTTTTAAATATTTCTCAGCCATTCATTATCTATATTTTGAGTATTCTTTGTTTAGTTTCAACTTTAATTTTTAAATTGTATTTGTTTCTTGTTGGTTATGGAATTTTTAGTTGCTTGTATAGTCTATATATGTGTAACTTTAAAAGGTTTTCTCATTCTATAGGAGGTCTCTCCACTCATATGGTAGAGTTCTTAGGTGTGCAGAAAGTGTTTAGTTTCATAAGGTCTTGTTTATTACTTGCTGGGCCTATGGCAGAGCAGAGTATGTGGAGGAAAGCTGATGTGTAAAATCGTATAAAAACTTACCTACTACTGTAGAAGCTTCCTAAGTCTATACATATATTAAATAGACTTACCATACAATGAGACAACAAAGCCCTTAAAAGACACCATGGAATAACAAATTAAAATCCCAGTGCCAGGAATGGGTTTTGGTTTTTGAAATTATTGTCCAATGGTATTCTATATTCCCTCAAACAGTACAAGTTATTGCCAGTTCTCTATATTGGCAATATATTGCCAGTGCTCTGGTTATGCTCCAGAACTTGATGATAAAACCCTATTTCTGAATGAAACACATACTTGAGTAGTAAAACATTAAAAAATGAAGCTGGTACTCACTTGGAAGCTTACTAAAAGACACATTTATTCACTTACTTACCTACTTACCTATTTACTTACCTACCTACCAGGACTTCACTGGGTAATCACTTGCTGTTTTTACCCAGATTTTTAGTGATAATAGAGAGAATAAAAACAGAAATATGTAATGTGTTTGAATCTACAGAAAGGATAGGTACAGACAGAAATCAATTGTAATTATTAAAGATATCAATGCTGTTATAGAGAGCTCATACTGCTTTTTACTGGAATGCTAGAAATGGTACCTGGAAGGTAAGATACTCCAAGATAAAAGAATAGAAGATTTTTCACTTATAGAAAAGGTTCCTGCAAAATAGTTTCTCTGGGCCCTTTCTGGAAACAGTCCATGCTGGGGAGTGTTTCCCTCAGTTTAGCTACTTAGGCATTCAGAATCCACTCACTGCATCAGTGATAAAGGGTCCAGACTACAGGGGAACCTGGCAGTAGAACTCAGTGCCATCTGCATAATGCTCATTTTGAAGAATATAACTGGGGCCACCAATGCCTGCATTGAGGCACAGAGGAAAGCTAGGGATACAAGGCACTCTACAGCAAAGCCAGATTCCTGGAAGTCTTGAGAGGCCAGTGGGTAAAGGGCAAGGGCAAAACACAAGTCACAGTGGTGACCACTGAGTGTTTACGATTCTAGGAAGAGTAAATATCTGCTGAGCAAAGCTGAAAGACTTGAAAACTATAGTGCACGTGTATAGTAGAAGCAAGTATAGCAAGGAATTAGAGTGTATTTAATCATAGAAATACCTACCTCCAAACTATAGCATTTCAGTATGCTGCTCATTATAATTTCTGATAAACCAGTACTTCCTGTAACTTGAAGGCTTACCCCAGTATGTCAGAGGCACATCTAGGCCTTGATGCTACACAGAAATATTAGCAATCTTTCAGTACTGATAAGTTCTTCCTCATGATCTACAAGGATGCAAAACTCTTTATTCTAGCTATTATGGACAAATCTGCTATGAACATAGTTGGGTAAGTGTCTTTGTGAGATATTGGAGCGGGTTTTGGGTATATGCCTAGGAACGGTATAGTTGGGTATTAAGGTAGAAACATTCCCAGTTTTTCTGAGAACCCATCAAATTGATTTCCAAAGTGGTTGTATAAGTTGGTACTTCCACCAGCAATGAAGAAGTGTTTTTAAAAGTCACAAGTTTTGAAAGGGTTCACTTCTCCTATTAATAATGGGGTTTTCTTCCTGAGAAGACATAAATACTGACTCCATCTATAGTTAGGATTTGCTGGAGGCAGCTCTGAGGTTTTGTATTATAGCATCAGCTGTATGATAAGCACTGCACCTGCAGCACAGCAGTAAACATCAGTGCGTGCAGCTAGGAAAGAGACAGGAATGTGCTCTGAGTAGAGGTTTTGTCACCATCTGGGGGCTGTGATAAGTTCCTTTTCTCTGTCAGTTAAACAATTACTAGGGAGGAAAATCATGACTGCAACATAGAAGCAGAGAGAACATAGTAGACAGAATCAACTGATGAAGAAAATCTTATATTTTCGTGAGGAAACACTAGATAGATGATAGGTAGATAGATAGATAGATAGATAGATAGATAGATAGATAGATAGATAGATAGATAGATAGATAGAGATAAAGAACAGAGAAAGAATCTCTGAGGAGCAGAGGAGGCATTCAAGAACCCAAAACTCTAGTGTATTCTGCAAGGCTGGTGTTTATAAAGGTCTGTAAGATTTCCTCCCCTCACTTAGGGCTGGTCAGTTTGAGTAAACACAAGATGGTTGATTGGTCCACAGCTTTGGCTTTTAACCTAACCAGCCAGAGGAAAGCGTAATCTACACACACACACACACACACACACACACACACACACACACGTCTAAAGGGACAGAAGCACTGCCGTATTGCCATCTGCTATCTGGTGTTTGCCACCTCATTCTGCCACTAGAACATGCTGTGAGATACCTAAATCCAGAGCTGATTCAGAAGAAATTTAAAAACCATTCTTTTCTCTGCCTTACCTAGAACAGTTAAGAGGTAACAGTTTAATTCAATAAGACTTGAATGTGGGAAGAGTTTTATATAGATCCCAGGGATGCAGAGACTTTAAGATGGCAGGCCCTTTCACAACTCAGCTGTACATGACTAAAGAATCTGGTGCCAGACACTGACATCACCGAAGATTGACCTGGGACAGTGTCTCTGAGTTTGTGATCTCATGTCAATGAAAGTAAAAATGTGGACTCTTGTATGTGTATGCAAAGCCAAGGCAATCTTTATTAAGGGAATTATAGAAAAGTGAGAATAAGAAAAAGTGAAAAATCTCTGAGAGAGATTTCAGAGAGGAAAGAGCTGCAACCTCCTTATCTAAGGTCTTTATAGATCTATGGAAGAGACTGGACATGTGACAATGAAGTTATGCTAACATTGATTAATTATCTGAGTGATCATGCTCTGTGCATGTCCTAGCTTGGGAGATGATCCTGTGATATTCAGGTACTAACCACCCATTAGAAGTTGATGAGGCGTCTTTTACCTACCTCGGATTTGTGCTTTCTTGGATGCTAACCTTGACTGCCTAATAAATAGCTGATAGTTTCTGGCCGATATTGGCACTTCTGCATTTCAGATGTCTCTGATGCTGATAAATATATTAAGCTTTCTATTCTCTAAGCTAACAAGAAAAGGCTGCATGGGATATAGAGAACACTGTGAGAATGCAGAAAGGAAACTGAATTAGATCTGCACAAAATATAACAAGATGTAAACTGACAGAAACCAAAATATGCATAAGAACTTTGACCTAGGCTTTAAACAGTACAAAGGATGTTAGCATGGGCTGACCAAGGCCATGGCCAGTGTTTATTCCTGAACCCCTGGAGAAATTCACAGAGGTATGACCATATCTGAGACTCCATCTATGAAGTTTTTTTTTGAACCAACATTGATAATCTGATCATCCAAAGGAATGAGTCAAAATGTGACTCCCAGCTTCAAGGAAGGAATGTGACCAGTTTCAAACAAGAGACAATGATCAGAATAGTATTGCTTTTTACCTTGCTCAAAGAAACTTTCTTATCATTGAAATAATGCAATGATGCATAAAAACTACCCAAGTTCTGAAAATAAGTGTTGAAGGCTCAAACCTAAACGGGATATCTCTATCAGCCCCTCTAAGGTTAGGAAAACATGATAAAAGAGAGAATTGAAAAACCGTAGAAACCAGGGATAAGAAGAATGCTCAGAGTAATGAAAACAGGAGGCCTCCCTCAAGTGCTCAGTCACCAGTGCGACATCTCTACCAATTCCTCATCCCGACAATGCTTAGGGAGCATCTTGGAAGAGAAGTGGGAGAAATGTAAGGCTGAGAAGATGACAGCTTTAAAACTCTTTCTTCTGCACATGGCATGGCTGTTGTCCAACATGAACTCACAGGACCTGTGCTTACCTGCACCAGACATGCACAAAATCAAGACATGTAAAACTTCAAGGTAAAGGGGCTCCTGAGGCCCATTCCTTAATGAGGAGCAATTGGCAATTGGTGGCTGTTGAGGCAAGGAGAGTCACTATTCTTTAGGAAAGAGGACCCTTGTAGGTTTCCCGTGCATCAGTGAGTGATCTGAACCCATAAACATTGCATATCACTCAGTAGATTCATTAGATTATCAGAAACAAAAGGAGGGAGGAAGAAGAAGAGTCACGAAGCTTAGAGCACTATGTATTCAAAATGAAGTATTGTCATAAGACAAAGACTTTCCAAATCAAGCATGCTCTAGTTCTGGCTTTGTGGGGGCCCAAGGTTTGTGTGCAGGCTGCAGGTGCCCGGGGAGCACTGTGTGCTCACTGCACAGAGGTAGAGAGCAGAGTCACCAGGCTGGGAGTCTCTGATGTGCAGGGAAACATGCAGGCTGGCTTTACTGAGGTGAGCTGTGAATCTGCCTTCTTCCTTTTCACCATCAGAGAAGATGGACACCAGCAACTCAAGGCCTTTTCCAGAATGCTGTCTGTACCACCTGAAGTTGTTAGAAGCACGATCACTGAAAGTGCAGTTAAGAGAGGCCTTGGCTCCCTCTGAGACACTGAGGGATTCTGGGCTCTGCTGCACCTTTTGCTGGCTGCTCACCCCTGTGCAGAAAGACAAAGGTCAGACAATCAAGACTGGATGTATTTGGACACTAACATTCTAGAATTACTTTTCCATGGGCCTCCCACCCCTTAACTAAAGGTTTAAAACACCTATTTCTACCACTATCTTAGAATAAACAATGACCTCATAAAACACCTTATATCCAAAAGAAGTACCTGAACTCACAATTAAACTGGAGCCACAGGACCACTAGTGAAACACTCAAGCGTTTCATCGTTTGCTCTTTATGTCTCTCTTCAGGGGATTCAGATCTTAAGCCCCTAAAAATGAGTTTCACATTTCTAATGTTTCTTCTTCTGCAAACATCAAGATTCTGTTCCACTAAGTAGGAGAAAAGCTCTTTTCAAACCCTTGTTTCATCAGCAAGCCCCTCCCCTTCTCCTTTCCCTCTCCCCTTCCCCTTCCCCTTCCCCTTCCCCTTCCTTCCTCCCACTCTCCCCACCACTCTCTCATTCAAAAACACTTGAGAGTTTTCCCTAGAGTCTCTGAGAAGAGGCTGCCATCTTGTGGATGTTGACACTGACCAAAGAATTGCTAAAAAATAAATACCTTTCCTATGTGAGTTGCTCAAAGTAAAAATCTGACATCTTAGTGAAATACAAATTCAAGAGACATTTGCTCCAAGTCAATGTGTGAGAAAGTGTATGTTTTCATGTATTTTAAGTTAAATTTGAAATATTTCCTGTGTTCAAGCATCCACTTTCCTGACTTTTCAATGACTGATACATTTTCTGTCACCAGCACTAAGTGAGATTATTTCACACTGCACAGCTTCTCTCTGTGCCAAATAACATACCTGTTTAAAACACTTCATTTTTGGCTTTTCAAAGACTGTCCTCTAATTAAAGGAATTCTGGAAAAACTTGATGGGTTAAAATCTCATTTAATAAACATGGTTCCATCTTAAAATCTCAGGAACACTTTTTTTTTAGACAGGGTCTGCTATGGTGGTTTGAATTGGAATGTCTCCCTTAGACTCATATATGTGATGCTTAGTCACTAACTGGCGGAACTGTTTGGAAAGAATTCCTAGGTGTGGCTTTCTTGGAGGAGGTATGTTATTGGGGATTGGCTTAGGAGCTTTAAAACCCCAAGCCATTCACAGATAGCTTTTGCTCCTTGTCTCCCACTTACAGAGCAGGTTGAAAGCTCTCAGCTCCTGCTCTAACACCATGCCTGCCTGCCTGCCTGCCTGCCTGCCTGCCCTCCCACCTCCCATGCTGCCATGCTACCTGCCATGATGGTTATGGACTTAACCTCTGTACTGTAAACCTCCATTAAACTTATTCTTGTCATGTGTCTCATCACAGTGGGAGAAAAGTAAGGCAGGGTACGGTGGTGTAAATGTAAATCTCCCCATAGGCTCATAGGGAGTGGCACTATTAGTAGGTACGGTCTTTTGGAGTAATGTATCACTAGGGGTGGGCTTTGAGGTTTCAACTGCTCAAACCAAGCCCAGACTCTGTCTTTCTGCTGCCTGCAGATTTATGTGTAGAACTCTCAGCTCCTTCTCCAGAAATGTCTGCCTGCATGTTGCCTTGTTTATAGACATGCTGATATCTCTGAACTCTAATATAGCCACAATTAAATGTTTTCCTTTATAAGAGTTGCCATGGTCATGGTGTCTCTTTATAACAGTAGAAACTCTAACTAAGACATGGGGTCTTTCTTTGTAGTTCTGGATGGCTTGAAAGTCACTGTACAGATCAAGCTGTACTCGGAATGCTTTTTATTATTATAATAATTTCTATAATAGTAGTTTTCTATAATAATTTCCTATAAGTTCTATAAAAATATTTTTAATTTATTTTCATTGTAATTGTTCTTTAAATTAAAATATGCTTTTAACAAATAAAGAGTCCAGAGTTCCTCAGAATATATCACTATATTTTGTTCTAATGAGATATTTGTGTCCAACTAGAAAGACAGAGCTATCTGATGTGTGTAGCAGAAGCCAAGGAGCCAAATCCTTTTCTTCCCAAATACCTTGTTTTTTAAAAAACATAACAAATGGATTTCTCCATAAATGTGAAGGCCAAAAGAAGCATGGTAATAGCATATGAAAGAATCTTTCATGCCTCATAAAATGTCTGAAAATTCAAAAGAAAACCTTAAAAGACAACGCATGAACCAGCAGCACAGTGTTTATAATAATCACACCTATTAGTAAGATGATTTTTAACAAATGACAGATAATACATTGAATGTAGTAGAAATGCAGGAACCACATCATGCCAATAAACTAACAAATTAATCTCGCTGAAATCAGGGTTGTTCTTGACACGCTAAACTTGATCATAAGGGAGTGTGAAGTTCTACAGGTTCATCCAAGAGAATAACACCTTTGACCATGAACCAGAAAAAAAAAAAGCAGAAGTACATTCAGTGTTACACTTTTATTTTCAACAAAAGTAAATGGCTATTTATTCCACAGTAAAAGCTGCTACTAAATTTATACAAACTTCAAATATGAAATTTTATTAAAAATAATGTCAGAACTCTTAATACATGGAAAGCTACACATGTATTTGTCTGATATATTATTAGGAAGAGATCTAGTGTTTATCTATTATAGTTTATTTTTTAAGCAAGCTAAAAGTAAAAGGGAACATGCTACAAAAGATACTCAGTTTACATTTATCTGTAGAACAATTTTTATTATGTTCATTAATTTTGTACAGCTCCAAGCTATTGCAAATTGCTTTTTTATTTCAGCTTGCAGTATTCTCCTTTTGATTTTTTTTATAAATCTTAAAAATTATATTTTATTAGTTCATTGAAAAGTTTACATAGTGCATTTTAATCCTATTCTCACCATTGTTGGCCACTCTCTGGTGAGCTTGCAAGACTCTAGATTTTCTTCAGTAATGACATTCTGTAGATGCTCAGGGAGGCTTGCATTGCCACCATCCTCTAGGTTCATACTGAGCTTTGTGCACATATGCCTTTTTATCCTCCAGCAAGTTTGGAAAGATTTGCAGTTAAGATTTCTTCAACTAGTCCCCCTTTCCATTACTCTTTCTCCTAGGCTATTTATATTGATGTCTTTATATGAGAAAATGTTCTGTAAAAATCTTAAGTTCTGTTCATTCTCTCTCTCTCCCTCTCTCTGTCTGTCTCTGTCTCTGTCTCTGTCTCTCTCTCTCTCTCTCTCTCTCTCTCTCTCTCTCTCTCTGTGTGTGTGTGTGTGTGTGTGTGTGTGTGTGTGTGTCCTCCTTTTCAGACTGGGTCATATCATTTGATCTTCAATTTTAAGAAGTTTTTATCTTGTGTGATAAAAAACATGTTGATAAATTCTTCTATTTCATTGTTAAGTTAATTTCCTCCACAAAATGACGCCTATGCCTTGGTAGAGTCCTGGGTTATATAAAATACAGAAACTCCCTTTGAGTCATTCTTTCAGGGAGGCATCTGACAGGTTAAAGCAATCAAGCATTGTTCCTTGATAACATGGTCTACTTTGTTTCTACGAACATCAAAACACTACACAGGCCACTATACAGTTTAAGGGCTGTCTGAGCCAGGAGAATGAAGGAGGGAATATGTGGAGAGAAAAAGGTAAAAAAGTTAAAGGCTATATGAAGAGTATCATAGAAACCTGATATAGTAGAAGCTTATATATGCATGTGTTTATGTGTGTGTATATTCATCTCTCTCTCTCTCTCTCTCTCTCTCTCTCTCTCTCTCTCTCTCTCTGTGTGTGTGTGTGTGTGTGTGTGTGTGTGTTCTAAATGAAATTGCCAAATAATGGGGGAGACAGAGTCCCAACTGACTGACTATCTCTTGTCACCGAATGAGGCTTCCAGTACTGTGATTGGGTTACAACTGTTTGAGTTGTTGGTCAAAGGGGGCCCATGGAAATCCCCAAACAATCAAGGCTCTGGTAAAGATGATACATCCCTCTCCACTAATGGGTGGCAAGCCCTCATTGCTGAAGACAACACTACACAACTCATTTGTCATGTAGAAGATGAGCTTGTGCCTACATAGAGCCTTCACCCCTAAGTTCATCTTTGATAAAGAAAAGTACTCTGCATACTACCTAAGGAGAAACATGAACAGCATCTCAGCTACAAACCCTTTGATTTACAACACTGCTCAGCTTGCAAGATATGCTAAGGCAATGGTTGCAAAACTTGTGGAAGTAATCAAACATTTTCAGGTTTGACTTAAGGCTCACACCCATACCTGATACTGCTTAGGTGCACCAGAACCTGAGACTAGATAGTCCAAGGACCTAGGATAAAACCGAATACAGTTTGTTTAATGTAGCAATAAAATTATTCCTAATGACACTCTGCTGTACTTGTAGATCAGAGCCTTAACGTCTCCACTAAAATCCCTTCATCCCTCCATCCCTTCAGCCAAGGCTTAGGAGATCCTTCTGAAGAGAAAACAGAAAGACTGTAAGAGCCAGAAGAGATGGAGGACACCAAACACACAAGGCCCTCTAAATCAACATGATCAAAGCACATGTGTACTCAGTGAGACTGAGGCAGCATGCACAGTGCCCGCCTGGGACTGCAGCAGGTTCTTTAGGCATATATTATGGCTTTCAGTTTGAGTTTTTATGGGATTCCTGAATGTATGAACATGAGAGTCTCTGTTTCTTGTACATTCTCTTGGACTTTTTCCTTTGGTTTGGTTTGTCTTGTCCAATTCAAACATGTTGGTTTTGTTGTTCTTTATCAATATCCTTTATAACACTGGTTGCTTTCTAATGAGAGATAGAAAGGGACTGAATACATCTGAGAGGGGAAGTAAGAGGAACTGAAAAGAGTAGAGGCCATGGAAACTGTAATCAAGATACATTATGTGAGGAAAAAATCATTTCCAATAAAAGGGAAAAGAAACATGGAGCAGAAGCAAGAGAACACAGCATGGTGCTTTTCTACTCACTTTCAGCTACTTTTGTCTTCAGTTCTTTGCAGTACAAATTCCGTGTGCTTTTTTGCTACTATAGACTGATCAGCTGTCCTAATAGCAGTATCTCCTTAACATGGGCCTCTGAGTGAAGGTAACGAGCGTTTCATCAGACTTTGTGCCCACCCACAGCTCCAGTTAATCATCCTTTGCATGACAAGATGAGTGTTGTGAAGCTAAAGAAAGCCCTAAAAATTCACTACTCTTTCATTCCTCAACTCAAAAACTCCTTAGTGTTTCTAACCTTTCTTTCTTCCTCTGAAGACGTCTTATGTTTATTTGTTGTTTGGAGAGTATTTTCAATTTTTTTCAGACAATACATTTTGATCATGATTTTACTCTCCTGCAAC